GAAATAATGGATATACTTTCTCGTATTTTATTTTATGCTCGATAAAAATGACGGTAAAAATTTCTTTTTAATTTTCTTTTACAACACATTTAAAAAAAATATGTATTTATAAAATAAGTTTTATGAAGGAAATAATGGATATGGTTTCTTATATTTTATTTTATACTAAATAAAATCTAAAATATTTTTTTTTTAGTTTTTTTATTCCTAGGAAATTAAAAAAAAAAAAAACACATATATATACAATCATGGTTTTATGAAGGAAATAATAATCATATTCTAATTAAAGAAGATATAATTGCAATTTATTTGTCTATAAAGCAACAGAAGTTCAGTGTTTCAAATCAACATAAATAATAATACATTCAAAATAACCGTAAAACAATTCTAAACTTCATTCATAAAAATATAACCTTGCATTGCAAACGTCAGCAAAACTTATGTACGAGGTACGAGGCTGATCTATCCTCGTACTTCGTACGTAACGTCATAACCTCGTACAAATACGAGGATCCTCGTACAAACGGCAACACTGGATACAGTAAAAATACCGTGGAAGGTTATTATAGTTGCCAAGGGTAACCTTAGGTAAATAAGTTTTTCTTTCGAAGTAAAGCTTAATCGACCGATCAAGATTAAATTTGATTGCGGTGAACTTGAACGACTGATGAAACCTGGTCTAATCTTAGATAACGCTTAATCTAAGCTTAACTGTGTTGGAGCAACTGGCTCTTAATAAAGTTTTATTATAGATCACAACTCAATTATCAATCATCAGTCTCTCTCTTATTCTTAATTCTTCTTCTTCCTAAATTCACATTAATGGCCTACCTGTTCGCTTCCAGATCTCCGTTAGAAACCTTAGAGAAATCTTCGACTTCTATTATTTCGTCCATGTATACGGGAACCATCTGATAGAAATTAACTGAGATTGAAGGAACTGATGAATTGTTTCATTAGAATCATCTTTGGAATCCCCAGGCGCTCCCACGTCTTTATTTAATAAGCCGAATCAAAGGGGCTTTGTCCAGGTTTCCCAACATACCCATTTTGTTTATTTATAATTCATTATTTTTGTTTATTACTTGTTTTTGTTATATTATATATATTCGATAGATAGATTTATTAACGAAACAAAAATATAGAACATTTGATTAAATTTGGAATCTGCAAATTTCTTTGCAATAAGCAAATTGTTTGGCAGCTTCACAGCTTCCCATCTGCAAGTCTCTTGGCCAACGCCTACGTAATCGTCGTGGTGGGCTGTACGGGTTTCTTGTACGATGAAGGATTTCTGTCAGGGGATTCATGTTGTACGTCAGTCCTTGGTGAATGTTATTGTATTTCTCTTTTGCAGTATCTAAAATTGTAGGTACGTTTAAGTCTTTATGTAGTGTATCATTCGCGACATAAAACGGTGCGCCAACTATCCTTCGCAACACTTTTGACTGAAAAGACTGAACTTTTTTTAATGTTGGAAGTTTTAGCAGAACCCCACAGTTCTATTCCGTAAGTCCAAATAGGTTTAAGTAAAATTTTATAAAGGATTAGTTTGTTAGTTAAAGATAATTTTGAAAGTCTGTCAAGTAATCTGGATAAAAGACCGTATCGTCTGTTTAATTATATTCGTTTTTGTCTCATGTGAGTCCTCCAAGTAAGTATTTTGTCCAGGTAAAAACCTAAATACCTAATTACGTCTGATGTTGGAATTTTAATGTTATTAAAGTATATTTCAGGAGAAGGTTTATGGTTAAGAGTGAATACCACATGATAGATAGATAGAAAGTAAAATTTATTCTGGGACGAGGTCACTTATGAATAACAGATATGAACAAAAAAATAAATAAAAACTACATCTGGCCAAAAATTACGTTAGTCAATATTAAAGAATACATGCAATATCAGTAAAATTATATTAAAACATGTAAAAATAACAACATTTTGAAAAAAAAAAACGAAATAAAAAAAACATTATTTAAATGAAAAGAAAACAGAATAAAATAAACATTCGTTGATTTTTAAAATTAAAACTCAATCAATTTTAACAACCATTCACCTCAGTCAAAATCTGTTTCGCAATATTTACTTTTGCGTTATTTTACAATATTTACTATTGTAATCATCTATAATGTTCGCTTATTTTCTATTAATATTTTTACTTTCACTTACGTATATATGTAATATATAGTAAGTGTAAGTATTGCGATCGAGAAAATTTTTGAATCTGAGTTTTCGAAGGATTTATACGTTTTGAGGTACCCTGAGTCGAAATGACCAAGTCCCGACAAATGGTATGTGTGTCTGTGTGATTGTATGTTAGCAGTCTAGCTCAAAAACGAAAAATCCTATGAAACTGATATCACGTATTTAAGATAGGTATATGCCTTAGTTGTGACTGCAACTTTTTCCTTAAAATCGGCTAACCGGAAGTGCCACTTTATATCAACGCTGAAACACATTTTCACAGTTTTCTCAAAAACGGCTCTAACGATTTTGATTAAACTCGGTGTATCATTGTATAATTAAGTGGTCTTTAATATAAATTAGGTCTTATCCCCATTGATGTCACTTTACAGGGCTTAAATGCCCAATGTTCATATACGTCTTCCTCTAAAGTACCTTTAATATGGTTTATTTTAAAAAGATAATTATTTCGCATTATTCAGAGTTACGAAAAAATGCTAAATATAACTTTTGAACGAATTTGATAAGTTAATAAAGGAGAAAAAAAATAAAAATGCAGAAAAACGTAGATATAGACTGTAGCGCCTAAACGAATGTACCGATTTCATTGAAACTTCGCTAAAGTCATTTTCTCGACACCCTTCAAATTTATCTATATAACATTCATCAGCGAAAAGAAGCTGAAAAAAAGTTACGAGGGATGGTAAAATTAAATTCCGAATAACTCAAAAAGTATACACTTTTTTGGGAATGTTGTATATGGTTTTCTAAAAGTTTATGGAATAGCCTAAAAAACAAAAAAAAGATCGTTAAAATCGGATAATTAAGAGATAAGATATGGTCTCTTGTTTTTTTAAATACGTTCTGCTGCAATGGTTATATCCTTTGTTTCGGTTTTTGAATTTTGAATGTGTTAATAAGGTAATGCTAATTTTTTTATAATGTATTTAAAATCCACCTAAGCAAGTTGATGGCATTGTTAAAAAAAATATTTCAGAGTACTTGTGTGAAAGAAGAAATAAAATATAAAATCATTTCATGGATGTATAAATCATGTGTTTATAATATTAAATACATTTACTGTAGTTTAGTAATTATTTATTAAATTTTAAATTGGTCCATAATCGTCTTATCTTTTTGGCTACATTCAAGGAATTGCTGTGTTATATATGTGTGCGATGTTATATTGCGTTCCTGGCGTTTGAGAATTTAAAGAGAAAAAAGGAATTTTTTTTTATTTTGGGAAAGTGTTTATTATGCTATGTCTATTGTTTAATATGGTTTATTGTTGATAATTTGTAAGAGTATTGTTATGAAGGGGGAGAAAAAAAAAGAAAAATATAATATAAAATTAATGTCCGTATGGATTGATAAGGATGCTGTGTACGAAGCAACCCTATGTAGTAGGGCAGCATTACTTTTAATAAAGTATTTCTCTCTAAATAATTAGGTATTAAAGTTAATTCCAAAATATTGTCATATAACTTTTTAGAAAACTAAATTAGTGAATAATTCGATAGATCTTCTCTTTGTGATATTCCACTACCATTTCATTGTACTTGTGTGAAAAAAGAAGTGAAATACAAAAATATTTCATAGATACGTTTATAACCCTAAATATATTTACTGTAGTTTAATAACTCTAGATCTCATAATATATTTAAATATTTAGATATCTATCGTCCGTTTATTCCGAAAAATCATCATGTAACCTTTTAGAAAATTAAATTAGTGAATAGTTTGATCATTTTTCTTTTTGCGATATTCCAACAGAATCCACTTACAATTAGTGTGACAACTTTTGACCTGTCTATGACAGACACTGCAAATCTCTTAATTCCGTTTTAATAAACTTTGCAATGGAAAATAACAGTTTAATGACTTATAGTCGTACAATCCATAATCAATGGATCGAACAATCCATAATCAACCGGTGATATAATAAATAGGACTTTTGTTATTTTAATAGAATTTGTGTTTTTTTAGCTTTAGCTCAGTTTAAAACATTTTATAATAGCCTAACATGGCCAGAAAATAATTTTTATTCAAAGTTCAAAGAGTAAGTGAAGGTTGTGTGTTGTGCGCACCAGATTTTTTCAATTTGTTTAGAAACAAAAAAAGATACAACAAATGATGGAAAATAAACCCAATTAGGCTTAGCAACTAAATATAATCTATAATCTATAACACTATTATTGTCAAGATTTTATATATGTAAATACAAGATATAAACATGAATATACCTTATTAAAAAACTCACTTGATGTCAGTCAACTGAACAGTCAGTTTAATATTAAGCTAAGTGAGCCTATAGTTGTTGATAAAGGGTGGGGATAAAATGTTGGCAAGGTCAATTGAACGAACCGTAACTGACCGAATCCAAAGTATAAACAATCTGGTGCTCACAACACACATCATTCACTTACCGCTATAATTTGAATATAAATCACTTTCTGGCAATGTTAGGCTATTATAAAATTTTTAAAGTGCATTTTTAACTGTATGTATATGCAAACGTTAAATTTGCAATTTCACTCTCATACGACTTTTAGTTTTTAATTTAGACTGTTCATATAAATACATACACAAACACACACAGACACAGACCATTTTGCTGGACTTGGTTACTCAGGAGACCTCAAAACATGTATTCCGTTGAAAACTCTGAAAATTTTTACGATCGCATTACTGTCCCTTACGATATATTTTATATATACGTAAGTGAAAGTAATAATAATCGATAGACCAACTCGATACAAGAGTAAACATGAAAGGATTAACTGTCAATTGATGGATATATTATTGAAAGACACAACTGCTTAAAAAAACTTATTTATTTTGTAACTTAACAAGAGTTTATTAATATTAATACGTGGCCCACACGGCCTTATATATTTCATATAAGGTTTGATGACATTTTAAATATTATCTCTGAATATAAAAAAAAATTAATATTTACTTTAAATATATTTGATATATAATTAAGAAAAGAAAATCCTACAATCTTCTGGGGTTGGTGGTCGCTTTTCAAGCCATTCTTTGATTCCTGGCAAATCAGCAATTTTCTGCTGGTACTCTTTCAGTTTTGGAAAATCCGCTAAAATGTCAACATGGAATAGACTAGATAAATAGTCACAATGAGACAAAAATAGGATGTCAGCCCAAGAAAGCTAAAAAAAAAATAATAATAAATAAAATTAATAAAGATACGAATCAAAATTAAAGTATGTTAAGATTAATGCAATTGTTATTCTTAAATCTTAAAGAATCTTTTGATTACCTCAACGTCAAGTAGGACAATATTTTCATAGACCATCTTTTTTTCACGATTATCAAGTTTACAAAAGAATAAAACAAAACTTCTAATGTCTTGTGTATTAGTTGGCTTATATTAGAGGGAGAGGTGGCCGAGTATGCACAGCACCGCCGTTGCCCGGCAACCTGACATATGAGGCAACGATACGAGACGAAAATAGTCCCGAGTTCGCATTCCGGTGCCAGGGGTCTTTTAAATCTCCGCCCTCCACTCCCTGGCTCGGTAAAACCCCGTATAGCCTTAAAGGCGAGGAAGGGCGGACCCCCCAAAAAAATAATAATAATAAAAAAAGTTGGCTTATATTATGTTGGATTATAGAAAAACAAATAGAAAACAAAAGGGTAAAAAAAAATTAAATAAAAAATGTACTATTACAAGCCATGAAAGGTCTTGGAATCAGTACTTTGTAAGCAAGTACAGGTTCAAGGCCAACGTTTTTGCAGGGAGGTGATCGGGCGGGGATCACGCTCAATTAATTAAGAGTGCCCACTTTATAGAGGCTGGGTGTGCCCCAGAAGCTTCAAATAGGACGTTTCAATCTGTAGATCTGTAAACTTTGTATGTTTAATGAGGCACTAGTACTCACGAGAACCCTTTTGCTTTCCATTTGAATCGCAAGATAATTTTATCACAAAATCGAGAAAAAATGTGGCCTACAAATATATTCAGCCATTTGACCTATGTAATCTCGTTATTTTGACATTTTTGGGAGTAGGTCACGCCAAACGGCTGAATATTTTAAGGCCACCTTTTTTATCGACTGATCATATATATGATCATTGTGATCATAATATCTTGAAATTTAAGTGGAAAGCAAACGGGTATTCATGAGTTTCTGATATCTAATTAAAAAGACAAAATTTGGCGATCTCCAGATTGAAAAAAAAAAACGAGAATTTTCGTAAATAAAATATTTGTAGTTTAAGATGAGATGAAAAATTAAATTAAATGAAAACATTTTTTTATTATCCTGGGACTGTTGTTCTTGCAGCACAACTTATAGATATAGAAAAAATGCCAATGTGGCCATACATTAAATTAAATATTTACAAATCTCATTAAAATTAAAATATTGGAAAAAGAAAAAAAACACTAAAAACTTACAGATATATGTATAAAATATACATGGCAAAATAAAATAACATAAATGAACAAAATCGTTTCTTGGGAAACTTAAAAAGTTCTCTTATCTACATTTCGTGATCAATCGGTTTGGGAAAGGATTAGGTGGTTAAAAAGGAGAGATTTAAATGAGGGAACTGATTGTTCATGTCGGATATCGGGAGGGATGGTATTCCAGGTGGAGGCGGCTTGAATTATGAAGGATTTGTCAAACGCAGCAGTACGGAGAGGAGGAGAATAAAAGTCGGAAATACAGGATCTAGTGGAACGGGATTGAATGGAATATTTAAATTGTAGGCTATGAAAAATATAGGAAGGTCGCTGAGTTCTGATGACTAGGTATAGAAAGGTAGCAAGGAAGTACAGACGGCGATTGGATGGATAGAGCCACTTCAACTTGGTGTAATACTGGGTTATATGCGTATCTCTTGAGATTCCGAAAACAAAACGTATTGCGCAATTCATCGGGCGTTTAAGTTTGGCCTCGAATTCTCCCGAGAGTCCGCCGCACACCTGACAGCCATAGTCGAAGTGGGGGAACACAACAGAGGAAACCAGGGGTCACTAGCGGATCCAGGATTTAGTTTTGGGGGGGGGGGCTTCAGCCCGAAAGTTCTTTTTTTCATAAAAATAACGATAATTACTTTGGAAAAAAAGAAAAAAGCCAACTGCCTGTATGAAATGGTGTTTAGGTGATTCCTAAAGCTCTTTTAAATATAATTACACGAACAATAATACTTATATTATTATTTTATTTTATTTTCCTCCCTACCCTGCCTTTAAGACAATACGGGAGTTTGCAGCAGTGACTTGATACACATTGTATAACAAATCACTGTTGCAAGTTTATCTTTTTACATTTTTAAATTGCTGTGCACACAGCCTGCTTCATAATTTTGTCACTTAGTTTATTGTCCTCCATCTTCTTCTCCTGTCCTAATCAGCGGCCTTCCAGGTACTGCTTCTTCACGCCTACCCAGGGAGAAGTGGGTTGGGCCCACAGTTTTTTTCCACCCGCATACAAAACTTTTAAAGTGCGGGTAATTTTGTTCAGACATTAGTTGGGGTAATTGTCTTTCTGTTAGAACGAAAAGCCCTGTATCCCTCATTAATTTGGCTCTCAGTGCCTCATAGCTGGTGCAGGCTACAGGGATGTGCTCAGCGGTTTCAGGTACTCCACAAGTGGGGCATAAGGGATCGATATTTTTACCGTTTTTAAAAAGTTTCGCTCTGAAACCCCCATGCCTCGTGACGAACAATAATACTTTAAGAGATACTTTTTTAATATTTGTTTCGATAAAATATGGTTATAATTTTGCATTTTGGGGGGGAGGGGGCTTCAGCCCGAAAGGCCCCCCCCGTAGATCCGCCCGTGCCGGGGGTTGACGGGATTTATATGGAAGAAGACGGTTAAACTGTTTCAGGGTAGAGACAGCACGAAGGGAAACTTGGTAGATGTGTGGTTTCCAGAAGAGGCTTTGATCAAAGATAAAACCAAGGATTTTACGGAAGTATGGAATGAGATAAGTGAGTTGTTCAGGAAATGATTGGGGAGTGTCTGTAAGGATTTGAGGAGAGAGGGAGATTCGATCAGAATGACTATTGTGGTTTGCCCAGGCACAAATTCCGTTTATTTCTTCCGGTAATTTTTGGATGCCGTCAGAATTCGGTCGGATTGAAGGAGATGTAAATCTGGACGTCGTCGGCTTATAGATGGTATTTACAGTGTAGGATAGAGGATGGGAGGTCATTGATGTAGATGGGAGATAAGGAGGACTGTGTAATAAAAGAAAATTGGGCAAATAAAATAAAATAAATCAATAATTTTTGTTACCTTTCCGGCGACGAGGTATCCCTTGTTTTCCTCCAGCTGTTTATCAAATAGCTTCAAAAAAAATGGAATCGTGACATCAACTGACTTCTTCATGCCTTGGTCTCTCTCTTCAGAATCAGGCTGGTAATAATGTGAAACCGTGTCTGAAATTGAAAGATTTTAAAATATAATAAATGCCACTAATCTCTTCAGAGACATTTTATGTCATTCCTTGTATTTGTATTTGTATTCTTAAGTTGGAATAAACAAGTAAATGTGAATTAGTTTAATGACATAGTCAGCAGAGGTGCCCAGAAGGGACTTTCATAGCGCAAGTTACGTCATCTAAATTTTTGAGAGTGGTATATTTTGAAGGGTTTTTGAATTTGTTATGGGGGCAAATTTCGATCGGGTTATAAAGCATGGAACGGGTCGCAGCAAGTGTAATTGTACATGATCTGCGATTTTTCTAATACTATCTTACATTGCTCAGTTTTCAAGAAAAGGTGAACAATAAAATATCTTGTGAGAAAGGGAGGTGATACTCAGACTTTAAGAGAAACTATCTATTGGCAGAACTCCAATGATAGTTCTATAATAGAAGGTCTCGATGAAGCCATCTTCTTCTCAGACGGCCGAGAAGGAATTTAGTAATCTTTTATATTATCATTGGCCTAAGGGAAAAGTGTTTAATTTTTAAATTTTAAAAAACGTAATTTTAAAGTGCCGCAAATAAAATTTCTTTTCTTTCCTAACTATTTTGCCTGAATTCTCCTGATGATTGGACTATTTTCCCAGTCTGAAGGAGAAGGAAACCTTCAAAATTGGTGGCTCAATCTTGTGGATTTGATGAAGAATTAACGATGATACGGCTGACAAAAAACACCTATGATAAACAATATTTATTTATTACTCCTCCTCTCGCGATCAGATGGACCTGAAGTCGACGAAATCAGACATATATCCCATGACAGTACTACAATTAATGTAAGTTTGTGTGGATGCGAATCCTTTGTCTTGCGTTATCTCGAAAATAGAACCCAGGTCTTCAAAGTGATTATACGGGTCTTGCTGTACACATCAAAATCTTTAAAGCCCAATTTGTCCCGCATCGATCTACAGACTTACCACCGTTCCAGTATTGAAGCCTAGCAACATTTTTATACCCACTTTATTTATTTTATAAAGAAAAACAAAGCGGAGAGTACGATTCGCTAACCCCCCGTGAAATTCTGAATCCTACGGTACCTCATTCATGGTATTTCAGCATGACTGGAGCCTTAATTTGGTACAAAATTGATTTCCAGCATTACTATAATAATATATGTGGGGAAACTATAAGAAAGAAGTCAACGAAATTAAAATAAAGAAAATTTGACATTTTTCAATATTACCATATAGTAATATTATTATTTACAAAAGACCCTTTATATTATATTACGTTTTCTCATATCCTCCAAGGTATCCACAGTCACATCAATTTCAAGTGCTTCATCTTCAGAAGAGCCGTATAGTCCTGCCTTTCGTGCAATATGGCGGCAAACTGCCATTGATTGAAAAAGAGTTTTTCCATCCATTTCCACCATTGGTAAATATGGTAACTTAAGAGCTGGAATAATAACAAAGATATACAAAATTTGTCATTTTTTTTTTTATTCATTGAATGATCCTTTCAGTTGGCAGAAAGACTGATTGGTTATTAACTTTAGTGAGAAAATTGATACCTTTATTCACAGTTCTATATTTCAAGACTGCAATCACCTACTCTGGAATCAACTTACTCACTGTATGTACAGATATTATTCATTTTCTAAATAGAAATATCACTAAAATTACTATACTTCAAAAACATTGAAATTAGAGTAAATTGGTCATCTTTCGGTCAACTGAATGGATCAAATAATTATTAATTCAAAAGACCTTACTTGGCTTTAGTTTCTGCCATTCCTCCTTGCCAACCCGGATGTCTTCGAATTCTGTCTTGGTGACTGCAAGCATCAGCCTTATAGGCTCCCCAAGCCCTGGCATTGCGAAGTATGTTAATTTTACCACCATTTTCCTGCTAATAAAATTTTGAATTTAGTAAGGATTAAATATAATTTACTTGAAATATAAAATAAATTCCTTAGACAAAACTTCATTAGATTACGATGGATTCATAAAAAAAAAAACATATATTATATTAAGAAAAAAAACTAGTATTATTATTTTATCTCTGTTGGCATTACAGACCTTGTAGATGTTTTGCCACCTTAACAAGCCTGATCCATCTCTGCCTGCCTTGAGCTAGTTCTTTATATTTAACTGCACGCAACTATATTGCACCTTTGTTGATTCTATCTAACCATCTGCTTTTTGGTCTTCCACGTGGTCTTTTGCCTTCTATTGAGGCATTCATCGTTATATAGGCTTCCAGAGGGATTGCTACGAGATAAGTGGCCCGCCCATCTTAACCTCCTTGCCTCCATATCATAGGATATTGATTGACCAGTTTTTTTATTGGTCTTTCTTCTCCACGTGTTACTACCCTAATCCCAGACCGCTCGAGTTATAGTTGTTTTTATTTATTTTTTTTTTTTTTCTTATGCCCAGTATAATTTAGACTTTCTTATATGTATATTCGGAAATATTTTGTCTCTTATGTCCCTCAAGGCAGGACATGCGTCTAGATGGTCTGCATCCATTGTTCCTAGATGACACAATTTACAACTAGGATCCTCAGCCACAACTATCTTGTAGAGATGACTCTGCAGATAGTCGTGACCAGTGGCCAGGCGGAAGCAGGCAGCTGCATCTCTTCTCGGCAGCTCAGCTGGAATCGGGTTATCCTTCAACCACTCGTAACGCTTCCCTTCCACTTTGCTGAAATGTACTTTTCTCATTTCCTCCTTCACCACCATCTTCATCATTCGCCGTATTGAGTCGTAAGGTTTTGGATGTATCGGCTGAGTCAAATCTGTTCCTCGCTTGGCAAGAATATCAGCCTCAACGTTACCCGGAATCCCACAATGGCTTGGGATCCACTGTAGGACCACAATAGCTCCGGTTATAGTGCTATTGATTCTTCTCACAAACCGTCCAACACTTTTTTCTAGGATGGTGGTCAGTGTCGAAGTCTCACAGCCATATATTAGAAGAGACTTTATCAAATCATTGTACACCCTTAATTGTTCCACCCCTTAATCTCAGATTTTTTCCAGGGTTTCAATACCTTTGAGAGGGATAAGAAAGCTCTGTTTGCGCTAGTTACACGCTGGTCTATTTCTGCCCGTTTGTCATTCATTGAGGTTATTATTGTGGAGCCGAGGTAATTGAATTTTTCTACTCTTGGGAATGATTTCCTTTCTACGTACATCCTTGTTTTTTTTTTGTTTTTTTTTGGTCCTCGCCTTTGAGTTTATACGGGATTTTCCCGGGAACTTGTGACTATTTTAAATCCGTTGTATCATAGATCAGGTTACCAGGCAACAGCGGTGCTGTGCACATACTTTAGCCCGTTCGGCCACCCTACCCATATCTTCTACGCAGATCCTGTTACGAATCTTTTCGATGGAATTTTCGGCTTATTACCATATATTTTCTTTTGTCTTCATTTACTTGTAGGCCGATCTGATCCTCCTCTGTTATCAGAGTCTTAGAAAGTTTCTCATTGCCCTCTTGATTACTTCCAAGAATAACTATATCATCTGCTTATCCAAGGATTTTATGATTCATTCCGACGTGGTCCGCTTCATTTTCCTGTGATATTGTTCTTATTACCTTCTCCAGGGCTAAGTTGAACAACATCGATGAATGTCCTATTTAGTATTATGTAGGAAAATAATGATCCGAGAGTCCAGAATAACATCAATGAACGACCAACTGCCAGAAATAGCCAAGCGTAACAAAATCAAACAGAGCTTTCTTCCTCTTTCAAATGTTTTAAGTCCCGAAAAACTATAGAAATGTCAAATTAATGGTGAGCAATGCTCCGATAAAGCCAGTTCTTGTATACTGCCGCGAAACCTGGACACTAACCAGCATTCTAGTGAAAAGTATTGAATTACTGAAAGATTCGAGAGAAAAATACTGCATATGATGATACTGCATAAGACTTTAAGATAAGTGAGCCATATAACTGGGAGCAATCCATATGGAAGTCTCTACACAATGAATGCCTCAATAGAAGGCAAAAGGCCAGGTGGTAAGCCAAAAAGAAGATGGGTAGATAGAATCAACAAAGATACGAAGAGCTGCGTGCAGATAGTTGGAAATAAATAGACAAAAATATGCAGAGATGGAGTAGGTTTAATATTTGTATATGAATAGTGTACATTGTATTTGTCTGTTTTCATTGTAAATATTGTTTATAGTGTGTGCTTTAAATGTTTGTTTTTGTAAATGGTTTGTTTATATTCTTTGATTAGTTTGTTAAAATTTATTTATTTGTTTTTATTGTTGCCTCTACCATTCAGGGTCATTGGCAACACTTTCTATTCATACTGTGTTGTAGAATTCTATAATTTTTAAAAATTGCAAGGCTTTTTCTACGGCTTTTTCGTTGTCAATGACATTTTCTTTTAGACTCTCAGCCATATTGAAATTTTTCCTTATATTCTTAAATACTGGGCAGTCTTGGATGATATGTTGGACTGTTCATTGCACCTTACAGCTCTCGCAAGTCGGTGAGTATAGTCCTCTTAGTAAGTAGCCATGTGAAAATTCACGATGCCCAATTCTTAAGCGGCAGAGGACTGTCTCTTCTTTTCTGGAGAGTCGGTTGCTAGTTTTCCATTTGGAACAGTCGCTTTTTATTTCTTTTAATTTGGTTTCTTTTTGTTGCCATGCGTTCTGCAATTATTTCTTTATATGCTGTAAAAAATCTTCTATCAGGATTTTGTTAATTATAACTGTTGGATTTCTTTCTCGCTATATTTGCTGCTTTGTCTGCCTGTTCATTTCCGACAATTCCGCAGTGTGAAGGAACCCAGATGAATATTATTTCCTATCCTTTTTCTGTTACTTTCCACCAGATATTTTTAATAGATCTCGCCAGTGTGGTTGTCGGTGTTTTCTTTTCGATGGCCAGGATCGCACTCTTTGCGTCCGTTACCACGACCCATTTGTTTGTCTCCGTTGTCTCAATGTACGTTGAAGCTTCTCTAATTGCAATAATCTCTTCACTAAACACAGAGCAGATCTCCGGAAGTTTGAAATACTTTTCTATTTTAGAGTGTTAAAATTGTTGTAACAATAAATTCTTAGTTCTCGTAATGTACTGAGTCAAAATGATTATTTTATCTTGACACCACTTTACAGATAGTTCGGACAATTTTTTAATTTCTTCAAAAAACTATATTATACATCGCGCTTTATTGCCAATTTATATGATTACCAGCTTTACCCGGCCACGCGCTGCTGTGGCTTAGCCTGGCAAAATGAAAAAGAAAGAAAATAGAAAGCACATATGAGTAGATTAGTAGCAAAGGACATCTGTCATTTTTAAAAAGTTGGGAAACAAATTTGTCTGTAAAATCGCTTCAATTTAAACTAATTCTAATGTTTTTTTTCCTCATGATTCAAATTGAACATTCATAATCATCTCAGTGAATACGCCGTCATTCATAATCATCAGAAACAGTCTGAGTTGAATTTATAAAACTAAATAAAAAAATTAATAAAAAAAACGTATAATAGTATTGACCTACATAAGGAGAATCATATAAATTCTACAAATGATAATTTCAATTACTGTAGTAATTATAAAACTTTCGATTATTCAATAAAAAAATTGAAAAAAATGTTTGCCGATGTTCGGTAGTGAAATATCAAAAATAAACGACCTTTTCTGAAGAGAAAGCAGTAAATGTTTAAAACGCAATAACTCTGCAACGAACCGTCCGATTTTAATGGCGTTTTTTTTTTTTTGTTAGCAATTCAGAAATCTTTCATATAAATGTGGGTATTATCAGTCAAAAATTGTGTAATTTTTTAGTTATCGTCAAATAAAATATTGAATACATCGTAACATTTTTCAGCTTGTTTTCGGGAAAGTATGTTATACACATAAATTAAAAGGGTTTCAAGGGGAAGACTTTAGCCAAGTTTCGTTAAAATCGGTAAAGCCGTTTTGGCGCTACAGTTAATAGCAAAACATTTTTTGCGGCTTTGAACAGATAAACATTTACATTTTTATTTTTTTTTTTACATATATGAAATTATCGTAAGACAGAAGTACTATGCCAGAAACCTTCCCAGGAGTGTACGGACCAACTTCCCAAAGTTTCTATAGGTTGAATGGTTTAGTAATGCACTAGGGACAAACAGACGGACAGACAGACATACATTCATTTCTATACATATAGATGTAATTATAATTATTCTGATTGCATATTTGTAACCATAATACATAAGGGAGAAATAATTCTATGAATAAAAAGTGTGGAGTCTTCGTTAAGATCTGATATTTCATCCAACTAGATAATTTAGTCATGGATCGTATTAAAATATCAAATATACATAAAACCGCAAATGTTTACTCTTATTGTAATATATTTTTAAAAAAAATGAAATATGAGAGTAAACCAAAAGCGATTATAGAAGCTAATCATAAAATTTACAGTCACCGATGAAATTCGAGATAAGAAAAACATTGAATAATGAGTAACGCAATCTTATCACATTGCAGCCTTTGAGGTTATCATTTATTACCAAAGAGATATTTCTCTAATCATCGAAGTTATAAATAAAATTTTTATAACTCTGTCGGTTTCCGATAAACAACTTCGCCGTTTTAGAAATATTGATAACTCTCAGGAAGCCACGATCCAATCAATCAAATGATTTGACATTTGGAAAAAAACAAATCTATTGCCAAAGATTATGAATTATGATAAATTAAAACCTCAAAAAGAAAACAAACTTATGAAAACTGTTACGTAAATACTCAATAAGATTTTTTTCGTTTTTACAATTTTTTTCACCCATCCATTTTTTATATTAGATAGCGTGAATTATTTTTTTTAAAACATGACAAATTGTTATAAAATGGTTTATTATTTTCAAATATATATCAATTAAAAC